CTGAGTTTGACTGTTTAACATTAGCCGTTTGCAGGAGCGCTATCTTTTTGAAGTACGTTGCACCTTCCAAAGAGACAGGCAGCAGGTGACCCCAAACTTCCCAAAGATCTTATAGCTTAAAATAGACAGTGAGGAAACTGAGGAGATTTCACCCCTCCCATTCCAAGAATCTGCTGATGTTCTCTGCTGATTCTCCAGAGAGGAGGGGGGTGGTTTCTGCTTACTACTTATTCTGCTCCAGCCTCACATCAAAAGAGAGAGACTGAGTGTTAGAGAGAGAGAGAGAGAGAGAGAGAGAGAGAGAGATCTCTGTATAGATAAGGTTGCTGCTAAGAGCAGCTGCAGACACTCAGTGCAGTTCAGCATTTTCGTTTAGACCTCATTGAGCTCTGTATATAGTTTGTATGATAGTTGTAGATAGAATAAAAGTAATTATTCTACAGAGCTGTTCTCCGAGTGGTTTATTCTCTGCTGTACTCTGCTGTGCAACGACTGTCTTCGGGAGTGAATCTGGTGCTCACAACTCTGAGTTGTGAGTCCACAGCACTTTGACCTGTTCCTGTGCAGAACATGGTCTCTGGAAGTGCTACCCCAGCTCGCCTGGCCGAGTCAGACTGAAGTGGATGAGTCCAGTCGGTGGCACTGGCTCAAGGGCGATGCTGACAGAAACAACAGACGCAGGATTAATGGAGAAGGGTAAGAAGGCCTCTGTTCTCTGCAGACAGAGGATCCAGGCAGGGGAAGATCCCTGCAGAGACCCTGGAGCGCTACTGTCAGATGGGACAGGTAATATAGGGCTAGACAGACTAACCTGGCAATAAGTTGTTTCATATGTACCAATACATGAATCCTGGTTGCTTTCCAGTTCCCACCCCCAAGAACCCCCACTGATTTGGAGTTTGTTCCTGACGAAAGAAGAGTGGAGGATGAAGTTGATGGACCACGCAGAATTAGATAAATTAACAGGAAGGATTCGAAACCTGCGGGATCAGAGATTCTTAGAGGACTGGAGTAAATATATGAACTATTTGAAAAGTAATTGTGAAGAACAGATTACGCTAGTAGGACTGCAATAAGTTTTTTAAGGTGGATTATTTGAAATATTACAAGAAAGACTACGAAAAGAATTATTAGTTAAGGGCAATTAAATGCAATATAGAAATTGTAGAAATTAAGAAATGCAGAATAAGTGATAAAGAACAGAAAATCATCAGAAGTCTAAAATATTGTATAAGATGTGAAGATATGTTGTATGACTGTTGGAACTGATAGTTTAAAAAATCAATAAAAATGTATAAAAATTTTTGGAGTTTGTTCCATTGTTTCTTTTTTTTTTTAAAAAAAAAATAAGATTTTATTAAAGCTGTTTCTTAATACAATAAGGTAAAACAAACTACTGTACATCAAAACAGAAACTGAAACTGAAAGTAGAATCCTCTTCCTGTTTGGCAGTGGAACAGACTCCCATGAGAAGTGGTAGACTCTCCTTCCTTGGAGGTTTTTAAGCAGAGGTTGGGTGGCCATCTCTCATGGATGCTTCAGCTGAGATCCCTGCGTTGCAGGGGTTGGACTAGATGACCCCCTTGGGGTCCCTTCCAACTTCAAAATTGCATGATGCTATGAAAAGTAGTTCTTTCCCCTTGTCTCACACAGAAAGTGCCGGACCCCCCAGCTCTCACCTGGAGAGGTCTTCCCTTCCCTGCCCCTTCGTGTGTGTGCAATCCTTAGACCCCCAATAACGGCTTCCCTTCCCTTCCTGTGCTCTCATTTCAACAAGCTCGGCTGTTAACTGACCCTCCCCTTGAGAATCAAAGATCATTGTTTTTAGCAATTACGAAAAACTTGATTGAAAATCTCCTCCCCCCCCCCAAAAAAAAATACGAGCCCCTCTCAGCCACTCACGTTACCTGGTAAACCTGAGCGGCCTCCTCTATAGGAATCACGCTGTGATATTTATGCAGCTTGGACCGGTCACAAACCACGCAGATGGACGTTTGATCGTATTCGCAGAAGAGCTTCAGCGGCTCCTGGTGTTTCTTGCAGAGCGTCTGTTCTCCTGACTCCTTGGCTCGCCGCTTGCTGAACTGCATGGCCAGCTCAACGATATTCCACAGGTGCCTGTTTGGCCGCAGGTTCTGCCAAGGGAAGGGTTTTCTGCATTGCGGACAGGAGAACACGTTGGCAATGGAGCCTTCACAGCACTGGGCAATGCAGTCCCGGCAGAAGTTGTGGCCGCAGTCGATGACCATCATAGGGTTCTGGTAATAATCCAGGCAGATGGAACAGGTGGCTTCATCCTGGAGGCTTTTCTCTGGGTTCGGCGCAGCCATTGGCGTCTTCTAGCTGCAACGCACAGGAACAAAGTTTAGTTTTGCTTACAGAGAGGGGTGTGTCTCCTTTTTGCAATCAGGAAGTGGTTGCCTCACGGGGGGAACTAGATTGCAAGGGAGGGAGTGATGGAGTGTTTGAAGGTGGTTTTAACTATTAGAGGGACAAACATATGTTCTGAATAGTTTCCCCGAAACAATACTTGTTTGGGGAAGCCTATCCTGACATGCAGAATGTTAACATGTGCTTTAATCTGGTTTTTTACTTACTGTTGATTTAATTTTTTAAAAAAATGCTTTAAATAATTGCTTTCACATATTTTTACTGCTTATTTCATTACGTTATTCTTTTTGTAAGCCACTTCCAAGTTTTATTACAGTAAATAATTGTAAAATAAATGCAGAATCTCACTGCATTCAACAGGTTGGCTATACTGATGAAGGACACACTATTAAAGATTTATTCAAGCAACCTGATCCTATTAAGTGTGTACAGGGTTGCAGCCCAATGTCCCCTATCATACTGTATGCTGTTTAAGGATGAAGGACGGGTGTTTATGCAAAGGGGGGGGGAGTTTCTACAGAGTTCATACAACATCGGCATAAAAACATACAACAAATTGTTCTGCAACATCAGCATAGAACTGTTGAACCACCTCCCTTTAATCCAAATTTAACTTTTATGGAGGAAATCTGATGTTGCTTAAAACATTGCTGCCAATAACCCAGGTGCAATATCTGAATATTCTCATTTGCAATGCAAAGTTGCCATATGAAAGTACCTGAAGTCATTAGTACTAAAGCCATCTACACATGGTTAAAGGCAGATTATAAATGTGTCAGAACTGCCTCTAAGGCCTCCTCCACACTGAGCAGTTTTCCTCTTGCCCTGCTCCTTTCCCAGGGAACTGCCCACCAGCAAGCTCGAATTACCATTTGAGCACTAAAGAATGATTTTCCTGGGCATTTTTTTTTTGGGGGGGGGGTAGAAAAGGATGGATGACTCCTAAATCTCCTGGCAGAGATGCTTTCATAAAGTGGAACGAAGTTGGTTCCTTTTCCTTATTTGTTCCAAACTACTGGGCTGACGAAGTTATTGCCAATGGCTGAGCCTGCCTTAATTACTTTCTTGCAAAAGCAGCATTTACATGAAGCAAAAACTACAAAAATGCCTAAAGCCCGATCAGATAACATTATTATTCATTCGGTTTATTTGTGGCCCAATACAGTAAGTTTCTAGGTGTACACCCCATGCGTTTTAAAGCACACACAGTGCCTATTTATTTCCCCCCAAAAAATGGTGGGAGATGTAGTTTAAGAAGTTGTAGCTCTGAGGAGTAAACTACAATTCCCATTCTATTTTTTTTGGGGGGAGGGATATACTTTAAATGCATGGTGCATTTGCAGTCTATAGTTTTTCTACAGAGATATTGCTTCAGTGGAGTGGAAAAAACCACACAATGTGTATCCCTAAGGAAAGCCTCTCTCTCCCCGCACCACAGTTAACTGTTTTATTAATTTTTAGTACTTTTTGACCCCACCTTCCTCCAAGGGGCACAAGGTGACAAAGCATGCTTCCTTCCTCCCTTCCTCCATTTTGACCTCACAACAGCCCTGCGAGGTAGGTGAGGCTGAAAGACTGTGATGGCTCCAAACAGTGACCAACCAGGTCGCTGCGGGAAGCTCGAAAGCTGGACCTGAACCTTCCAACACGGTTTCTCTGGACGCCCGCGAGTTCTAGAGCTGAGTTCTAGAGCTTTCTCCATGGCATTAACAATTTTAAATGCCATATTCATGACACCTCTTTTCCGAACCTTTCCCCCGCGCTCTAACCACTATGCCACACTGCCACCACGCTGTTTAAATTAGAAAAGCAAAACCTCTTAAGCAGACCACGCTTCGGACCTCCCGGGGTTTCTCCCATGGCTTTTCAGCTGCCCCATCTCCACCCATGTCGCCTGCAGCTCTCTCTCTCTCTCCACCCGCCCACCTACCTCGCTCTGCTCCCCTCTTGTTCTCGCCTGCTAAAATGCAGCATCCGACCCCCGGGAATCATCAGCCAACCTGCAAGGGAAAAGCCCAGCTCGGCCCGGCCTAAGGAGAGAGCCCAGCAGCGGCCTAACTCCGCCCCGCACAGCGCTCCCAACGGGAGATCTCTGCCAGCTGCGTCTCCTATAAGGCACCCATCTGGATTATAAGAAACCAACAGAAAAAGGGAGCGGGGCCTTTAAAAAACTGGAAATAAGGAAATGAGTTGGGTTCGCTGCCACTAGGCAGCTCCCAGAGGTTGTCTCTTCCAACTACCACCAGGTGGTTTCCTTAAGGGATAAGAAAGCAAACAGCTGTTTTCTGATTATTATTATTTTTAAATCGGTGTTGCTTGCAGCAATTTTATGCCCATTGCTTTGCAAGGCTCTTCTGAAATAATTTAAATATATAAATGTGTGTAAGAGGCATGGGGTTCAGGTGCATTTTACCCCACCCTGGATATACAATGCTGGCATTTAAATACTGGACTATTCTTTTCCTGCCTGCCAGGAGACACTTAAAGGCGCAGGAGGTTGGGAAGGGTGCGGAATGAATTGTAGTGCCGTGGGGGCTCTGGGTATTTAGCAAAAAAAGAAAAAGACCATGCCAGAGTTCAGAAGGGGGAGCTTCACAATTGCAGCGGGTCTGGTTTCCCGCAGGTCCTAGTGCGACACTAACCGCTATACCACACTGCTTCTCAATCTTCTTCTCAAGGAAATGGAGGCATCCTCTTGATTTTGTTAAAGCCAAACAACCACTGCATTTCGGATTTGCACCGCAATCCCAAAACACAGTTGCAGAGAGAAGACTCGCACGAACCGGATGCTTAGAAACAGCTTGCAGGTCTGTTCTCTGCAGAAACGTGCACACCCATTCAACATGCTGACTCCAGAGCGCATCTAGAAACCCTTTTCAAGGTTAGCACACGTGCTTGTTTCTAAAACTTATTTATTTAAGTGTGTGTGTGTGTGTGTGTGTGTGTGTGTATATATATATATATATGGATTATGGCGATTATAAAATTGTAAAACTCAGTAAAACTTTTAAAAAATAAAAGTGTTTACCATCACGAAAGAATGGCCAGGCTGCCCAGGTAATGCAATCAGTGACCATTATTAGGTATCCTGGGAGACAGGATTTCTGCTGTAGATGGCCTCCTTCTGTAATGTATATATGATGTTTTGGGGGGGGGTGGTCTTGGACTACAGGGTGGGCAATTTCAAAAGTTATTGTTCAGAGTTTTCCCTGTTGGGCGGGACCTTGTTGCAACTGTTCCTTGAATAAAGATCAGGTTTACTAGCCGCTTTGCTTCTCAAAATACTGTTATTTTTCTCCTGCCAATAGGAAACCCTCTATATGGGCTCCTGAAATACCCCAGAAAGGAAAGAGGAGCAGTTTTTCTTATAACAATAGTAGCAAACACAAAGTTTGAAAGGCCTGGGAGAAGGGGAATGTATTTGCCTTAAAGATGTACAGTATAACGAAGCTGCTAAGCAACCCTTCACCACCACCACAATGAGGGCTGGATATTTAAAACGGAGAAAGTGTTTGGGCTGCATCTTGCAAGAGAGGAGTATTGAATGAAACCTGGCCAGCAGCTGTGACCCAATAAAGCGATTTCATACTTTTGAGTTAATTAGTAATCTGCTCACTAGGGTCAAAAGTAGCAAGAGGCTATCCACCATTTTCCGCGTCAGTGCCTCAACATAGAAGTACAGTACTCCTTCCTCTTCTCCCAGGCTTTCTGCCTGGGAAGAAACGAAACGCCCGATTGCAGGAACACGAAAGCGAAACTGAGCTTGCCTATTCTTCCTCCAGCTCTCGGAAAACAGCTGCTGCTGCTGCTTCTTGGGCGATCATGGCTACCGCAGATCCAGCAAAACACCTTCAGGACGAAGTCACTTGCTCCATTTGTTTGGATTACTTCAAGGATCCAGTCATGATCACGGAGTGCCAGCACGACTTTTGCCGAGCCTGCATCACTAAGTATTGGAAAAGATCGGGAGCTTCCATTTGCTGCCCGGATTGCAGAAGAACAGCTTCCTGGCAAAGCCTGAAACCCAACCGGCGCCTGGCGAACATGGTGGAAGCGGCTAAGCAGCTCCGTCTGCAACTGGAGCAAAGTCCAGGAAGGGAGAAGATGTGCAGGGAGCACAAGAAGCCTCTGAGTCTCTTCTGCAAAACGGAAAATGCCCTTATTTGCATGTTCTGCGAGAGATCCAAGGCTCACAGAAACCACCGTGTTATTTCCCCAGAAAGAGCTGCTGCAGATTACAAGGTAATGACGGTGCATTTTAGCAAAGAATGCAGTTCATGTGTATGCCTGGTGCAGTTGTGATATCTCTAATCTAACCACGATATAGAACAGGGACAGGGAACTTGTGGTCCTCCAGGTGTTTTGAGCCCAGCTCCCATTAAACCCAGGCAAGGGTGATGGGAGTTGTAGGGTAGCAGCACCTTGAGGGTCACAGGTGAATAGCCTCCCCAGATATAGAAGGTGAACACCTCGCTTGGTATATTTCTCCTCCCCTTTTCAGAGCTGGTGTTTTAAATCTACAGTCAGGGTTGGCTTCAAACCACACTGTGCCAATCCTGTTTGAAGCGTGATAGTGGTTCACAGAGCTCTCTGCAAAGGTTGATCTTTGGTACTTCCAGAGACCCACCCTTTGCCCCCAGTAATGGGCAGCCTCACCACACCATTTTGTGGGCCAGCCTCTTTCAAGTGTGGCAGCCATTTTGTGACTGGGTTTACAGTAATTTCCCCTCAAAATTCCAAGGTGTCCATTGGCCCCCAAAGGTTGGCAATTCCTGTCTTAAGCAGCCACAGCTGTTTCTGTCTCGGGGTCTTCCTTGTGCATAGCATTTATAGTGAAATGGTTGCCTTTTTGTTTTTGGATTTTTTCACAGGTTGCCACATGAAGTGCTTTTTTTAAAAAAAATTGCAATTTTTTTTAAAAAAATCCAGATTCTGTAAAAGAGCCTGGGTGGATCCTGTGATAGGAATGTTATGGTCTTAGACATATGGTAATGTTCATAAGATAAACGACAGGAGAAAAACAACATTCAAATTTCTGTTTTAAGACCGCCTTTTCTGTGATGTATGTATGATGTATCTGAGGGTGGTCTTGATCTACAGGGTGGGAATTTCAAAAGTCTTTATAAGGCCTTGCATGCCATTTTTCGGGGTTCCTCCTCCTCTCCTGCGGGTGAGGGGAGCACCCTGTTGTAACAGATCAATAAAGATCAGGCTTACTAGCTGCTTTGCTTCTCAATATTCTCTGGTTGGCCTCTGTTATTATCTCCTACCAATAGGGAACCTATAGGACTCTATATGGGCTCTTGGATACCCCATAAGGGGAAAATGGCAATTTTTGTTTACAACAGTGGGCGTGTTTTGTTTTGGCCACTTCCCTGGGACCTGTGCCAAGCTGTGCCACTGTAGCAGCTGATGGAAGTTGAGAGCCCAACAAATTCTGGTCAGCTGCAGGCTCCCCCTGACCCGTCCTAGAAACATTTTAAAGTCTGCTGCTTGTAAATAAAACATTCTCAGTCTGCAGAAACTTTAAATCTACCGTTATCATCCATTGTCTGTCCTTAGGGTGTACTACTTGGACATCTAAAGGAACTGAAAAAAGAAAGAGGCAAGATTCTGTCGGTTAAATCAAATGGTGAGAAGCCGTGCCAGGACCTATTGGTAAGAATTGGCATAACTCAGGGGTCAGCAAACTTTTTCAGCAGGGGGCCGGTCCACTGTCCCTCAGACCTTGTGGGGGGCCGGACTATATTTGTGGGGGGTGAACAAATTCCTATGCCCCACAAATAACCCAGAGATGCATTTTAAATAAAAGCACACATTCTGCTCATGTAAAAATACGCTGATTCCCGGACCGTCCATGGGCTGGATTTAGAAGGCGATTGGGGTGGATCCGGCCCCTGAGCCTTAGTTTGCCTACCCATGTGCATAACTCCTCCTTTTAAGGCCTGTCTGCAGTGAGCTGATCACCACTGGCAACGTTATCATTTGAGAGCAAGGATCTGTGTACATTGGGAGTGTGATTTGATAAGGATCCACATTCTCCTGACCTATGTTATATTTTACATTACTGTAGTATCTAGGAAGGGGAAAGGACTAGATAAGTGCCTTGATATTGTTGTGATCATGAAGTTGGAATATGTTTGAGGCTGCTTTCAAGTCAAGATTTATGGGTGAAACAGATTTTCTGGATCCATTTCACTTTAGGCCTGGGTTTGGCACTGAAACCAACTTTCCCAAATGCCCCCTCATTCTGAAGCATGGAGGGCGACAGAGAAAGGGCTTTTTTGCTGGTGGCCCGCAATTTGTGGAATAGGTTTGCATGGTGCCTGTGTTAATACCTTTTTGTACCATGTGATGATAACGGCTATTTATTTTTTACCCACTCTTCACCAGCAGGTCCCGGGTTCATTTAAAATTCATGATTGAAAACAGTTTAAAAATTACAGTCACAGGAGTTGAAATATTTTAATGTTATCCTGTATCCCATTTTAGTTTCTGTTCAATGAATGGCTGGTGTGTTCATTTAACACCCTCCTTATATGTTTTCTTAACATTTGATGTGAACACCTGAAAGAGACTTTAATCAATTTAATTCCAAGTATGTGGAGTGCTTTTTTCCAGGGGGCACGCAGTACCTGCACATCTTTTTGTTGTTGTTAAAAAGTGTGACACTTGCTATAACAATTTCATGGTGAGTACCAGCACCTATTTTTCTAGGAAAAAACCCCACTGAGTATGTGATGTGTATTCCCATGTGATATTATTAGGATCTGGATTGGGCAATCTATTAGAACATCCCATTGTCATTTGTATCTATCCCTTGTAGGAAGAGGCAGAAGCCAAGAGGGGGGAGATTGTGTCTGAATTCCAACAACAGCGGCAGTTTTTGGAGGAACAAGAGCAACGCCAGCTGGCCAGGTTGGAAGATATAAAAAGGGAAATTGAGAAGAGAAGAAAGGATTATGCAAACAAATTTGAGGATGAAATAACCTACATCAGCGACCTGATTGGTGAGATAGAAAAGAAGGGCAATCAGTCAGCAGATGAATTCTTGGAGGTAGGTCTAGTATTCTGAACCAGAATGTATTCATGACAGAAATATCCTGCATCGGTGACTTGATTGGTGAGATGGCAGGTAAGGGTGGTCAATCGGGAAAATAATTTTTGGAGCTGGTATTCTAATCCAAATATTGATTCATAGCCAGCACAAATTGGTTGGCATAGGCAGCTGGCCAGCAGCTCACTGCATGTGTGATAAGTAATTGTTTAACAAGAAAAATGGCCACCGATGGTTGATTTTTTTGGGGGGGGGGAAGTAAGTTCTCATTGAGTGTGCATCCCTCATCATTCTCATAATGAGTTGGAGTTGCAACGGGGGCGAGATGGCGCCACTTTTAAAGTCCCAAGTCTCTTGAAAAACGGCAAAGGGTAGAACGACTATAGCGTTGGATTGAATCCCATGTTTTTTGAAGCCAAAGAAGCTAGTGACTACCAAGTTATTTTGTAATTGATTATCACTTTATTCCTACCCTTTATATATAAACAGAGAATGCAAATCCAGGCATGTAAAGCGGACTGAAATGAGTGAGGTAATTGATGGAACGCTGAACCATGTAAATTCAGCAGTTCTAATCTTTCCCATCAAAGAATCCATACAGGGGAGAAACCATATCCTTGCTTAGAATGTGGAAACAGCTTCAGTCATAAGAGAAGTCTCACTTCACATGAAAGAACTCATAGTAGGGAGGAACCATTTTAAATCCTTAGAATGTGGAAACAGCTTCAATTCCAAGATGAGTCTCACTTTCCATCAAAAAAATAGTACACGGGAGAAACCGTATCACTAGTTGGAATGTAGAAAAAGCTGCATTCTGAGCCCCCATCTCACTTCCAATCTAAGAATTCATCCATGGGAGAAGCCACAACAGTGCTGAGAATGTGGAAAGAAGTTCAGTGAGAGAGCCAATCTCACAGTCCATCAAAGAAGTCATACAGGGGATAAGTATATGTTGGAAGAAAGGTGGTATTAGAAAACAATCAAACCTAAAGAGATTCTCATGCACATGTGAGAAAAATGAATATTTTGTTAGTAGAGTTAAATAATTTTTCATATTATATAGATTTTGCTTTAGTTGTTTCATGCGTTTATGAGAGAACTCATAGTAGCCTGCATATCAGGCAATATGCACTGAATCCCAGTGGAGTGTTAGTTTGGAGAACCAGCCACCCCTCTCCCTTTCTACGGTCACATCCATACCATGCATTTGAAAGTGCATGGCTCTATCTAAATAGTCCTAGGAACTGTAGCAGAGTTACAGTCTCAAGCACCCTAAACTAGCTTCCAACAACAACAAATCTTTATTACGGTCGTAGGCCAGCATAAGGAGGGCGGGATACAATTGTTCAAAACCTTTAAAAAACCCCAAAACTAAAATGAGTTAAAGCAGAAAATATATATATAAAGTCCATAAGAATCCAAAAGAAGCTAAGAAAATCTAAAAGAAGGGTTAGGAACATTAGACAAGAGTGAAAGAGTGTGAGACTATACCTATCAGTCTACAGAGCACTCTTAATAAGAGTGCCCATTATATCTAGTTTGTGGCATAGGTCATCCAACAAATTTTGAGCACTGCCGTGCAGAATCTGGCAACGTATGTTGTAGCAGGGTTGGTACCTGAAAGTAGGGAGGTATAGAATTGTCCTGTGCGCCCTGGGTGCTTATGCAGTGATGGTAAGATGAGGCTAGTACGAATGTCTTTAATAAAGACACTGGAGAAGCACATGCTCTGTTGTTTCTGTTTGTCCACAGTCACATGGCACTGCCTCTCCAGATAAGCAATCTTCCTGTAACCGCCTTCAAGGACAGCTGAGGGGAGGCCATGACATCAGCCAAAGGCTTAGGGACTTTGAGTTTAGCTAGATATGTCATAGGGGAGAAACTAGCTTACAGTTTCCAGGATTTGTTGGTTGAAGCTGTGTGCCTTAATGTATAGTGTGCTTGTGACCACAGTTCTTCATTGTGAAGTCACGTGGGATAAGTTTACAATTGGAGATCCAAATACGCTGGTGAAATTGACCCAGCTTTCTCCTGACCCTAGGAAAGGGAGGAGGGCAGAGACAATTAAGGAAATGGCCATGCAATGGATCGTTCCTCACCATTGTGCAAAATTAGCAGGAAGCAGGCAAGGAAGCCTCACCCTTTCGTGAGTGGCCAAAGAGACATTTCTGTGCGAGGGGGAGAGACTAGGATGTGAAAAATGCCATTGTCAAATGTGTAGACCTCTAAGAAACATAATGATATCTGGAGGATTAAAACAGCTTCATGGAAGACATCTGTTAGAAGGTGACGAAAGAACCGTAACAGGAGTAGGATGAAGTACAATTGTAAATCCACCTTCCTGCCCGACAGTCAGTGGGTTGAAGAAATCTGATGACAAGAACATTTTTGTCTTTCACACAGGCACAGCAACAGTGGGAAAGAGGCTCAAAACTGCTTTGTTCATCCATTTTTTTGTAACTACATACCACCCAATTAACTACAGTGGACGCTCGGGTTGCGAATGTGATCCGTGCGGGAGGCACATTTGCAACCCGCAGCGCCGCGTCTGCGCACGCGTGGGTCACGATTTGGAGCTTCTGCGCATGCGCAAAGCTCCAAAACCCAGAAGTAACCCGTTCCGGTACTTCCGGGTCCAGTGCGGTGCGCAACCCGAAAACACGCAACCTGAAGCGTCTGTAACCCGAGGTATGACTCTACATTCTACACAGTTCACAACTTAAAATCAATTAAAAACAAATATAATCGGATAAAACAATTGAGGCAGTAGCAGCCTAGGACAGAAGTTAATACAAAGCCGCACGAAGCAGTGTAAAATCAATAAAAGGGCATTGAAACATAGCAAAGAGAGAAACGATAGTTCTAATATATATATAGAGAGAGAGAGATGATGATGATGATAATGATAACTTGTTGGCGTCCAGCAAAGTCATACTCTGAGCAGACCCATTGAAACCAATAGCTTTGAGTATTATTAACATTGGATGTCACCCATTAAATTGAAATTACACCGTGTGCCAAATGCAGCTAAATTGTCTTTGCTCTTTTCACTTCTAGGGTATTGGAAGCATCCTGGACAGGTACCTGCCTTCTGCTTTTGCTTTATAACAATGCTTGACTTACTTGGGGGCCCCTCTCCCCTCCCCAACTACCCTTTAATGGCCTCTTAGCTACTGTTTTAAGGCTGCAGGGAAACCATCATTGGGCTAAAATGCTGAGTCGGTGGCGCAGGGCTTTTGGGTTTCATTAAGGGCCTTTCCTGCCCTTAGTCCCATTCCCCTATAATGGGAATACATCACCCTCTTATTTTATTGTGATAGGGTGATGCTTGCTTTGACTTCACTAGTAAATGAATCAGGATGAATGCTCAACCAATGTCATCCAATCTCCTTTGAAGCAAATCGGCAAGTATGTATGCTCAATAAGCAGGTAATCTAGAAATGGCCAAAGATTTCTGGAGAACTCAAAAGCTTGCTGGAGGTGGCACGGCTATAAGGCTCCTACACTTCAGCGTTCACCGTTGTGCCATTAACTATGAGGCCGAAATTGAACTTTTTACCATCATAGCACCCCCATGCTATCAAGTGGTGGATGAAGCTGCAAGTGAGCCTTTGTGAAGCAAAAAAGGTGGCAGTTAAAATAAGGGACTGTACAAATAGATTGAGGGTGGTCCTTTGACTATCTCGCTTTCTTCCACTAGATGCGAGACAGAGAAATTTCAGTTTCCAGCTACTCCTGCTTCTGCAGACATGAAGGAAAAGCTCAGGAAATTCTCTCAAGAAAGTGCATCTTTGACGAGTTATCTGAGGAGAGTCAGAGGTTTGTAAAAGAGAACCCTAAATCGGATTGCAGGGAGGAAACATGTGGTGCAGCACTGTCACCAGCATTGTACCTTTAAGAGAAGCGTAGCAGGGTGATGCCAGCAGCCATAGATTTCCCCCCATGATGCTCATTATTAGAAAAAGTGAGTGGCTTTGTGCTAGTGTGGTTTGATGGGTTAGATAAAAGGTCTGACTAAGACCTGGGACGACTAGTGTCGAGTCTCCATTCAGGCATAAGACCCACTAAGCGGCCTTGGACCACTCTGATTATAGATAGAACTACAGTGGTACCTCGGGTTACAGACGCTTCAGGTTACACACTCTGCTAACCCAGAGATAGTGCTTCAGGTTAAGAACTTTGCTTCAGGATAAGAACAGAAATCGTGCTCCGGCGGTGTGGCAGCAGCAGGAGGCCCCATTAGTTAAAGTGGTGCTTCAGGTTAAGAACAGTTTCAGGTTAAGAATGGACCTCCAGAACGAATTAAGTACTTAACCCGAGGTACCACTGTAATAGAATTGTAGAGTTACCCGCCATCAGGAGCAGGGCAGGTAATGACCAGGCTCAGTCAAAAGGGGGTTTGTAAGCTAATCAGCAGTGCCTGAGAAGCCCTGTGCAAAGAACTCTGGAAAAAACCCCTATCAGCTGATAGTTTGGTCTTGCAGAGAGCTTTGCTGAGCATTTTGCAAGGCCTGGTGATTAGCTGAGAGTCTTGCCTAGTGAAGCCCCTTGCAAAGCTCTCTGTTAGACCCATGAAGTGGGGGGATGGGGGTCACCTGACATCATTATGACATCAGGGGATTGTCAAATCTGGCTTGTGATGGGATGGAGGAGAGAACAATCTGGCCAGTTCCCCATTCTTGTCTATTGCTATCGAGTCACCATTATGCAAGTTGTGCACCTTAAGTATGGGGGGGGGAGTGGTTAAGAGCAGTGGACCCGTAATCTGGGGAGCCGGGTTTGCGTCTCCGCTCCTCCACATGCAGCTGCTGGGTGACCTTGGGCTAGTCACACTTCTGAAGTCTCTCAGCCCCACTCACCTCACAGAGTGTTTGCTGTGAGTGAGGGAGGAAGGGAAAGGAGAATGTTAGTCGCTTTGAGACTCCTTTGGGTAGTGATAAAGCGGGATATCAAATCCAAACTCCTCCTCCTTTGCTACCCAAAGTGTGTGGCATGTGCCCCATCTCCTCTTCCTGGCTACCGAGAATTCACTTAATCATCCTGTTTGTCATTCTTACCACTACAGCTGCCCTTGCTTTTAACAGAATCATTCATCATATCACAGATGTTGTTCCTCTGTCAGTTAGCCTTAGGAACATGATTCATGCATTAGTCAATAACTATTATGAATGATTACTGTAGTTAACAACAATGCTTCATTGGTGCATGGTTAAACAGGCTGCAAGGTCCCTTCTGTTAGCCTTATGATGGACGTTTTACCTTGTTCTCTTTTCTCCTCCTAGACGGTTCTGAGCCCAACTGTTCTCAATCCAACACGGTCAAATCAAAATGGATAAGAGGTAAGCTGCTAGTTCCGGAGAGCAAAAACAGGCCAGATGTTGGGGAGTTCCAGCATTTGATCTCCTGACGTTTCTGTCTTCAGATATAAGCTGCTGCAGGGGGAGATCAAACTGGACTGAGGCCCTGGCAGCAGTGCTGAGGGGTGGAGGAAGCGAGTTAGTCCCTGCGCTCTCACTCCAGTCTAAACCACCACCACCCTAGCAAGTAAATAGCTTAAGGGGGACTTAGATCAGGGGAAATCGTGTTGTGGAAAGGGTTACATTAACCATTTTCCAGCTCAAGAGCCACATTCTCTTCAAGACAGCCTTCCTTAAAAAAAATAATCTTTATTGGTTTATAAACTGTGCACACACACACACACACACACCCCAATAAAATAAAACAGCACATAATTCACAAATAACTAAAATAAAATAAAACAGTACAATGCGGAAACACAAAAATATTTCAACCATTGACTTCCGACCTCCTTGGTGTGGGTTCTTTATTTCCTTGTTCCTTTCCTTTATTTTTCAACAAACATAGCCTGTATTATATCCCTTACGCAGTTCCGAGAGTTATTCAAAGCATTCTAAAGTTTTAATATGGGGACAATGTTCTTTTAAATCTTGTCTATAAATCTCCCATTCCTTTTTAAACTTTGGGGTCGGTCGATCCCTGATCTTTTCCGTCATTTTCGCTAGTTCTATTTATTCAAGCAGTTTTACTTGCCGCTCCTCTTTTGATGGAATTTTATCTCCTTTCCACCCCTTGCCAGTCAGCATCCTTGCTGCTGCTGTTGTTGCGTACAAAAACAATCCAGCCTTGAGAGAAGGCTGTCTCTCAAGATAGCCTTCCAAGGACCACAGGCCATGCTGGGTGGTGCCAGAAACAGAGCCATAGCTACAGGGTTTTTTCCTGTTATGAAGCCTTCAGAGGGGCACCATTGAGACAGCCACCTTGCAGTCAAACTGAGCCTCTGACACTAGTGAAATAAATCCTAGTTTTGCCCCTGCCAGAGGCAGACGTGGGTGAAGCAGTGAATGTAAATTCCGTCTTTGTTTCTGCACACGCAGTCTCCAAGCTTTCAACTCTCACCCTGCATGTGCCCCTGTATTCTCGCCATGCAAATTTTGTTGTATGTAAAGGGACCCCTGACCATTAGGTCCAGTCGTGGACGACTCTGGGGTTGCGGCGCTCATCTCTCTTTATTGGCTGAGGGAGCCGGCGTGCAGCTTCCGGGTCATGTGGCCAGCATGACTAAGCCGCTTCTGGCGAACCAGAGCAGCGCACGGAAACGCCATTTACCTTCCCGCCAGAGCAGTACCTATTTATCTACTTGCACTTTGACGTGCTTTTGAAATGCTAGGTTGGCAGGAGCAGGGACCGAGCAACGGGAGCTCACCCCGTCGTGGGGATTCGAACTGCCGACCTTCTGATTGGCAAGTCCTAGGCTCTGTGGTTTAACCCACAGCGCCACCTGTGTCCCTTGGTTGTATGAATTGGCCTAATTGGTTCTGCATTTCTCCCCTTCTAAAGAATGCATGCAATTTGCGAGCTCGGTACACTACCTTGCAGAAGTAACCGATTCTGTTAAGCGTTTGTCTTGCCCTGCTTCCTGTTCTCTTTCAGAAAATGTGGTGTTGGATCCGGAAACAGCCCATCCCCGGTATATTGTGTCTTCAGATGGAAAATCAGTACGGTGGGGAGATGTCCGCCAGGACTACCCCTACAACCCAAAGAGGTTTGAATACGCCCGCTGTGTGCTTGGAACGCAGGGATTCAGCTCTGGGAAACATTATTGGACAGTGGATGTTGAGGATATTGACCACTGGGCTGTGGGCGTAGCCAGTGAGTCTGTGGAGAGGGATAGAGAAATTGATTTTGAACCTGATGAAGGGATCTGGGCGATGGGCTTTAGTTATGATCAGTACAAAGCTCTGACTTCACCTCCTACCGTTTTGGAGCCAGAAGAGGATCCAGTAGAGATCCAAGTTTCTTTGAACTATGAAGCAGGAACTGTGGCTTTTTATGATGCTGAAGATAAGACCCGCCTGTTTATTTTCCAGTCAATTGATTTTGAAGGGGAGGAAGTTTTCCCCTTTTTCCGGATTGGAAATTCATCTGCTCCCCTCCAGCTGTGCTCTTAAAACACATGGTCCTTGGCCTGTGCTTTGCTTTGCCTTGCCTGGGTGCTCAGACGAATCCAGGTGTTAGTCCCAAAGAGCAGCGGATATCATTTCTGTGCACATTGTCTTTGGAAGTCTGTTTCCATCCCAGGCTGCTGTCCCACATTCCCCTTCAACAAAGGACCAAGGTGTTTTGGTTTGACTGTGCAAATGATAGCTTTATAATTCAGTACAGCAAAGAAGCACTATAATATTCCAAATACTGTTTCTTTAATTTTGCACCCTCTTGGTGGTGCCAATGGGGGATTTCCTCCCAATGCAAGTTGCAGCTTCAGAGGGATTATCCTCGGGACCAAAGCAAAGGTGGAAAGGGTTAAATCCTCCACCGCATTTTGTGATTCTCATAATCATCAGCTTCTTCCCTCACTCAGCATTTTGCAGTTTTAAAAACTTGCATGCTAAATGCAAGGCCATATTTTGTCTGCTTTTGATTCTTAGTTTATATTAACCACACTATTTATTAGCATGTAACTCCTCAGGTTTTTTTCTTTAGCTTTTTATGTTTAATAAACCTGTGATTTGATATCTCCATTGTCACCATTGCAGTCTTTCGCTCATTTCATTAATTCGTCAATAAAATTATTTTAAAAATCCTTTTAACCTTTGTTTTGACTCAACTAACTTTTTATGCTGCAGTTCTGTTATGATACGTTTAGTTTATTAAATTGCTTTTCTTAGAAGATTAAAGGCATCCTAAAAACTTTTTTTTAAAGTACCATACTGAACAAAAATGATACAGATAATGTTCATAGCATAAGAATTATTTTTTTAAAAAACCACCATCCCAGAAAAATAACAAAAGTAGGCTAACCAGTTAACCAGGCCTATGTTTAAAACCATCCCATCCTAACCCTTTTCCTTTTTAAAAAAAGAACCATACTGAACATTCATATTAATAGCGTAAGAATTAACTAAAAAACCCACCATCCCAGAAAAATAACAAAACCAGGCTAGCCAATTAACCAGGCCTGTCATCACCTCACATCCCATGAAATGCCTGCAACTATAGGAACATCTTAGCATTGTGCCAGAAAAATGACAATGTTAGTGCCAATATTTTGTTTTAAGATGCATGTTTTCAAGATGGAGTATTGTATTTTGTGTGAGGCCCCAATCTCCTGTCCCTCACTCCCCCCTTTTAATTTTTTTTTAAAATTATTTTGAACATTGGGCAGTTGAGCATGCTGCTAAGTGCAAGCCCAGTTAGACCCCTGCTGGAAATGGAGGGTGGTGGGATACTGCTAGTGGAATACCATATATTTTTCCGGTTGGCAGCTGAAAAATCCTGTCACTATTTTTTATTGTTTTGATTGAATATTTAATGTATTTTATTTTCAATGTATTATATTACACACCATCCTAATCCGCACGAACAGAAGATTCCAGGAGCTGTAGCTGTGCTTACCTGAGCGAGGACAAAATTTGGTAACACCCCCCTAAATATTTATTTTCACAATAATTCCTTCTTTGTGTATTACTTTTTGCACCCCCTCAGCTTGGAACCCTGTGCGGGGGACATCCCATCCCCCCCCTAAATCTTGCGCTGGTCTGTGTACCCTTTTGGGAAGAAGAAGAGGAGTTTGGATTTGATATCCCACTTTATCACTACCCAAAGGAGTATCAAAGCGGCTAATGTTCTCCTTTCCCTTCCTCCCCCACAACAAACACTCTGTGAGGTGAGTGGGGCTGAGAGACTTCAGAGAAGTGTGACTGGCCCAAGGTCACCCAGCAGCTGCATGTGGAGGAGCGGGGAAGCGAACCCATTTCACCAGATTACGAGTCTACCGCTCTTAACCACTACACCACACTGGGTACTAGCAGCAGGGGAGGACTTTGGTAATCTGGCACCTTGAGCAAGGCCAAAATTTGGTGTCCCCTATAGATCACCTCAGTTATTCCTTATCTCAATTTTGCGCCTCCTCGGGAACCACCAAACAGCCCTAAATCTGACACTGACAGTAAAGACTGCTCTCTTTATGACATATGGTATTGTTTACATACAAACTGCACCTAGATGGAGGGATCACAGAGCTTTTGCTGTTGAGTTCAATCAGAATCTGTTGGGGGATTGTCAGAGCCCCAAAGACCTGCTGGAGTTTCCCTAGGCAACCAAAACTCTTCCTTTGGGTCCAGTACCAGGTTTCCAAGTTTCCTTTGTAGCAGAATATCATGCAGCGTCTAATAGTGTAGGAGTCCCATGTCTAGCAGGAAGCGTAGAAATAAACCACAGGAAACAATTCAGTACAGCCAGAAGTCCTTTACTCTCGTTCTTGAGCATAACGGTTACAAATTTTACAATCATCTATCAGATCCCTCCAGTTCAAACTGCTCCAGGCCTAGCTCTAAAAGCTGCCAGACCGTCTCTCACACTAAGAGAGCAAAGATCAGACTAAACAACTCTCTTTGTCCAGCCCAGAAGCTTCAGAGTGACAAGCCCAGCTTCTGGACAGTTCACCCTTTTGTTTCTGGGAATCGACGAGACTCAGTCCCAACATTCATGTCCTATGAGGGTCTGGCTTCCCCCTTAAAGGAAGCAGTGGATTCATAGGACATTAAAAAAAGCCACCCTCTGTCTCTTGGTTCCAGTCTGTCATCCCCAGCTCACATGGTGTTCTCAGCAAGGATCATTCAAAGTTGAACCTGGCTTTGTCTATACCCACTAGCCCCTATCATGGAAGAGGGCCCACTCCCCTTTCCTGGCACTCTTGTCCTCTGATGGTTTCCTTGATGGGCCATCACTGGTCTTTGTCCCCTGCTAATGGCCCATCCAGCCAGCTCTGCAGATGTGGCTTGGCTCATTAGAATAATTAAATCCAGGCAATTTCAGTATTTGGCAAAGTTTAATCAAACCTTGTTTTGAATTATGCTGCTGAAGGAGACTCTTGAGAGTCCCATGGACTGCAAGAAGATCAAACCTCTCCATTCTGAAGGAAATCAGCCCTGAGTGCTCACTGGAAGGACAGATCCTGAAGCTGAAGTTCCAATACTTTGGCCACCTCATGAGAAGAGAAGACTCCCTTGAAAATACCCTGATGCTGGGAAAGATGGAGGGCACAAGGAGAAGGGGCGACAGAGGACGAGATGGTTGGACAGTGTTCTCGGAGCTACCAGCATGAGTTTGACCAAACTGCGGGAGGCAGTGGAAGACAGGAGGGCCTGGCATGCTCTGGTCCATGGGGTCACGAAGAGGCGGACACGACTAAACAAAAACAAATCAAACCTTGATAATTTAAACTTCCTAAATCCAGGAATTATGAGGAGTCTGCTCCCGCGCCCCAATTCAAGAAAGTATATTTCTTTTTTATTGACATGTTTTAATATTGTTCACTACTTCTGGGAGTTTGGGGGCTAAAAGCAGTATATAAATAAAACATATCCTAACAAGACCCCAGACACCCACCAGTCCTGCTCCTCTACTCAACTGGGTCCTAAACTGATTAAGAAAGAGGAAGCAGAGAGCAGGGAATAGGCAAACTCGGGTACCACTTCTTAAAATTTGGACTAGGGTGGGTTCCCATCCCCATGTGGCGGAGTGTTGCCACGGCTGCTCAGCCTAACCTACCCAACAGGGGGGTTGTGAGGGTTAAGGGGGGAATCTTCTCTGCCTTTTGGCGAAGATCAAACGTACCTGTTTAATATGAGTTTAATATCTGGCATGGCCTCTGTTCAGTGCCGAATTTATGTATAAGCTAAACAAGGTATAGTTTAGGGCCCCACTCTCTTGGGGGCCCCAAAAAAATTAAAGGAAAAATAACTGGATGTACATTTCCAAAATATAAGATAAAAAACATAAAATAAAACCTGCATCCAGCAACAGTGGCAAATGGCTTTAGATACCTGTTAGGTCCATAAATTACAGTGACAATTTGTTGTTGACAAAAGACAGCTGGACATATAAAGGGCCCCATTACCTTGAGTAGCTTAGGGCCTCATCAAACCTAAATCCGGCCCTGCCCCTGTTAAAGAGTAAATACAATCTTTGACCTTTTAAACTTTGGGTTGGCGGGTCATTGCTTACTATGCTATATATATTTTCGTGGTTTTATATTGTAAAATCTTCGGAGGAAAGGCGGAGCAGAAATTTAATACATGCCGCACTGCGCTCCTTAAGGGATGCAAATGTAAGAAAGACAAGTGGTGCAGTCAAAGCGCATTTAAGCACCACCATCAGGAATATCTTCATGGGTGTGAGCCATTTCCTGAAAAGTTTTCTGTCCCCTCGCGGCACTTTCCCCCTTCGCTTCAGCGCCACGCCCCCTTCAGACCCTTTGGCGTCACGCTCGTCTCCGCGTTGCGCTGCGTCTTCACTTTCGCTTTCGCCCGTCTCCTGCAATCTGTTCTTCCTCGGTTTGCAGGGATCCAGGCTGCGGCGGCAGAAGGGATCCTCCGTCTTTGGACCCCAAATTGACCTCTACCGCGGCGAGGCGGGACTCTCTTTCTCCCGCACTGCCCAGACCGCGCATTTTGCGCGCAAGGAGGCGCACCCATGGCCGCCGCCGCCGGGGACCCCTCCAAAACTCTCCAGGACGAAGCGACCTGCTCCATCTGCTTGGATTACTTCTGCGACCCGGTGATGATCATCGCTTGCGGGCACAGCTTTTGCCGAGCCTGCATCGCCCAGTGCCCGGAGGGGCCGAGCCGCGACCTCTCCTCTTGTCCCCAGTGCAGGATCGCTTTCCCCCGGGGCCACCTCCGGCCCAACAGGCACTTGGCGAATATGGCCGAAGCGATCCAGCGCCTCCGCCTGCAGAGCCTCTGCCTGGCCGAAGGGGAGCCCAAGAAGGAAGCGCCGAAGTTGTGCGGGAAGCACTACGAAGCCCTCCGGCTTTTCTGCCTAGAGGACCGCGCCTTCATCTGCTTGGTCTGCAGGGAATCCCGGGCGCACAAAGCGCACGTCGCCCTCCCCATCGACGAGGCTGCCCAGGATGCTAAGGTAAGGGAAATCGCCCCTCGTTTTGGGAGAATTTGGAGCACGAAGAGGATGGGGAAAGGGTGACTCAGGCATAGGCAACCTTGGACCCTCCAGATGTTTCGGGACTACAACTCCCATCATCCCTGACCACTGCTCCAGTTAGCTAGGGATAATGGGACTTGTAGTCCCGAAACATCTGGAGGGCCGAGGTTGCCTATGGCTGGTCCAGATAATGTTGGTCTTCAGGCATAAATATAAGCACCAATTCTGTGAATTGGCCATATTTCTACTGTTATTTGTAGCACAATACTACTTTTAATACGGTCAGTGACCAGGAAGCAATTTATAAAAAATATGACATTAAAAGTAGTTTTGTTGTTTAGTCGTTTAGTTGTGTCCGACTCTTCGTGACCCCATAGACCAGAGCACGCCAGGCACCTCTGTCCTCCACTACCTCCCGCAGTTTGGTCAAACTCATGCTGGTAGCTTTGAGAACACTATCCAACCATCTCGTCCTCTGTCGCCCCCTTCTCCTTGTGCCCTCCATCTTTCCCAGCATCAGGGTCTTCTCCAGGGAGTCACCTCATGAGAAGAGAAGACTCCCTGGAAAAGACCCTGATGTTGGGAAAGATGGAGGGCACAAGGAGAAGGGGACGGCAGAGGACGAGATGGCTGGACAGTGTTCTCGAAGCTACCAGCATGAGTTTGACCAAACTGCGGGAGGCAGTGGAAGACAGGAGTGCCTGGCGTGCTCTGGTCCATGGGGTCACGAAGAGTCGGACACAACTAAACAACAAAACTACTTTTAATGTCATATTTTTTATAAATTGCTTCCTGGTCACTGACCGTATTAAAGATATTTGATTTGATTTGGTCTTCAGGTGCCACCATCCCCAGGATTTTATTTACAGTTTTACTTGTATACTATGAGAGCTTTTTAGTGAAAAAGTGGTTTCTAAATCTTTCAATGTTATAAGTGCTGAATGCTTTTTTTTATTTCCTTTTAGGATCACCTCCAAAGCTGCCTAACAACCTTGAAGAAGGAGAGAGATGAAATTTTGAAGGGGAAATGGTGCAGTGAGAGAGAAATTCAGGAAATGAAGGTAGGCAGGCTCCCAGTTTGCCATCCACTGAACGCAGCTGCCTCCTTTTTGTGCTCCCCAGATGTTCTGGACTGTAGCTCCTCTCAGGCCCATTAGAGGAGTTGTTGTTGTTGTTGGGGCCTTCCATGTCAGTTCTGTTAGTTTCTGTTTCTCACTGTGCAGCTGCTTGCAGTCACAGGACTGTTTACATTCCAGAAAGTCCAGATACTGTTGGAGTCTCACGGGAAAGGGAGACGGGATGTGACGTTACTACAATGTCATCCTTCTGCTGTGGCGTTGTTTTAATGCTCTGCTGGGCTCAAAGGAAGATGAGCCTTATCAGCTCGGATGACCGGAGCTGAAATTCCAATAAGTCTAACGCTGTCATGTCACCCACCCTCTTGGATTTTGTTGAAACTTGGTGTACACCCTTCCCTTATGGTTGAAAAAACAAGAACCCTTAATTTCCCCCTCTATCTCAAACGGTTTTAATTTTATAGCACTTCAAAGTTTCGTGAAATCGGTGTTTGTGTCCCTCTTGAGATCTTCAGCCTTGTGTGCATTTTATTTTATTTTCTCCATAACCAATGATCAGATCTCTTTGAAATTTTACACAGAGATCAATAACATGATGAGGATTTCAGGGGGGAAACACACCAGCACTCAAACGATTTTATAAATGCCTAAAAAAATGTATAAATGTAGCATTTTTGGTGGAAAAACTAGGTTTAGAAAAATTTTCAGCATTAGGGCACGATGCAATCAAAAGTTTTTGATGGTGAAAATTATTGCAAAGACATGCTTTTTCTCAACAAAGAATAAAATTTATGGGTCTCTTATGTCTTGTAACAATATTTTATGTTTTTTGGACATTGTAGGGGGGAAATCGCAACTGGGTACAACTTTTCTACAATAAAGGTAAAAGGATCCCTGACCATTAGGTCCAGTCGTGGCTGACTCCGGGGTTGCGGTGCTCATCTTGCTTTATTGGCCGAGGGAGCCAGCATACAGCTTCCAGGTCATGTGGCCAGCATGACTAAGCCACTTCTGGCTAAACCAGAGTAGCACACGGAAACCCCGTTTACCTTCCCTCCGGAGTGGTACCTATTTATCTACTTGCACTTTGACATGCTTTCGAACTGCTAGGTTAGCAGGAGCAGGGACCAAGGAACGGGAGCTCACCCCGTCGCAGGGATTTGAACTGCCGACTTTCTGATCGGCAAATCCTAGGGTCTGTGGTTTAACCCACAGTGCCACCCGCATCCCTTTTAAAAGAAAAAATTAATGAAACAAAGTCCATCTTAGAATCTAAAATAATATTGGTTATTACAGGGTTGTTATTTTTCAAAAGTGCAGGCTTGTTTTTCAGTTTTGGGGTATTTAAAACTATGAAAATTGGCTATATCATGAAATCAATCTAAAAACAATAAATCACAGCTAAATGCAGATAGGTCCGTACAACATAAGCTGAAGTGTATTAAGGCACCTGCAAAATGCTTTTGTAACATTTAAGATATAGAGATGGATGAACACAGGATTTTGGAAGTGAATATGGTTACATTATAGATTTCTGGAGCGAAATCGAAGAAAATATTGGAGTGGGGACAGGTAAGCCCCGCCCCAGATAACTGATCACATGATGCAGTGCAAACCCACCCCCCATTTGAATGGCAATGCCGATCAACTTTTTTGAAAACCCTTAGGAGTTGACACCTCCTATGTATTGTGTTTTTAATATTCGATTGGGAGCCACCCCGAGTGGCTGGGGAAACCCAGCCAGATGGGCGGGATATAAACAATAATTATTATTATTATTATTATTATTATTATTATTATTATTATTACTAGTATAGCTTAACTGAAGGTATCAGATAAGATAGTGGTACAAGGTACATGGATTGCAAAACAGGAGGAAGTAATGTTCTTGTCCAGATCAGTAATAGCAAAGAAGTGGGTGAAAAGGTTATTGTCAAGAGAATGGTGGTGGGTTTGGGAATTAATCATAAAGAGATGACCCCCAGCTGGGAGTGTGCATTCTATTCTCACAGTGACCAAACAGATGCCTTTGGGAAGACCCCCCCCCAAAAAAAAAGCACTGGGGGGGGGAATGTCCACCCTACTGACCTTTGCATTAGGTTACACCTCCGGCTTGTTATGGTGAAATGAATTAGCCCTGATGAAACTAAGCACAACTGGCTCTTTCCCCCTGTTTCCCTGGGGATGGAATCACAACAGCACACTGAATTCGGTCTCTCTTGTCCTCTGGTCTTTGCAGAAACGTGTGGGAAGCCTCAGGACTCAAGCTGCGGGAAAGTGGGAACTGCTAGATGCGTGTGAAGAGATCATGAAGTCAATCGACAAAATAGCCAGCGAATTCTCAGAGCGCAGTTCTCATCTTGCCAAGCTGATTAAAGAGGCAGAGGAGATGTGTCTGAAGTCTGCCTTTGAACTCCTGAAGGTGAGATTATACTAGAAGATGTGAAAGCCCAGGGAAATTTGGGCTGGGTGGACATTCCTCTCCTTTTTTTTGTTGTTGTTCCCCTCCCCAACAAAAAAAAGGAAAAATTAAAAAAAGGTTGGTCTATGACGTGAAAAGGGTACAGCAGATTTGTTTCAGTCCAGACAAACCTTCGTTTTTTTCGAAGTCATTATAAATGTGATGGCAAATATGAGGCAGAAACTGATAGCAATAACACAGAAATATGAGGCTTTTGTGTTCTCGCACACACACACCTTTTTGACACTGGAGGAGCTGTAGGGTGGTAGTCAGTGCTAATCCTACTCAAAGTAGACCCACTGGAATTAATGAACATGGTCAACTTAGATTCGTTAATTTCAATGGGTCTACTCTGGGTAGGTGCTATTTGAATACAACCCGTAATAATGGTCTTATTTTTTACTGTAGTATTGATGGTCTGACCTGTTTTCATTGTTCCATCTTGAAAGGAAGGTGGGCTGTAAATATGCAAAATGCATTAAGAGTTAGTACTTGATGAGCTGTAATAAACTTTGAAAAGTGGGGCTGATCAATTTATCTTTCCCCCCAGGCTATGGATCCCTTGCTGAGCAGGTAAGCCCCTGTTTAAAGAATCCTAGAATTGGAAAGGATCATCTTAGTCCCACCCCCTGCAATGCAGGAATATGCAAATGTCCCATATGGGGATCGAACCTGCAACCTTGGGGTTATATCAGCACCCTGCTCTGACCAACTAAGCTATTTTTCAAGATTGGGACAGTCCTGCCATTAGGCAGATTAAGGCCGCCATCTCAGGCAGCTGATTATGCCATGAAAGCGAAGCAATTGCTAGTTTACTTAACAGGAAAGGAATCGGGGAGCAATACAGGGCAGTGCTTTATTTTAAATCATATGTTCTTCCAGGTGCAACACAGAAATATATGGGAAACCCAAAGCTGATCTGAATAAAAAAGTTGAGTGGCTTAATGAAAAACTACAGCTGGTGCAGACCAAGTTGTGTGAGCTTTCAGGTAACAGATTATGTTTTAACTAGGATAATAACAATCACATGAGTCAGTCAGGCTCACCCCCCAAAAGAGACAGAAGTTGCCAGTGCAGAGTTATATATATGGGAGTCCTTCCTCATCTCACATAGTGCATATCAATACCTCAGGTTACAAACACTTCAGGTTACAGACTCTGCTAACCCGGAAGTAGTACCTCGGGTTAAGAACTTTACCTCAGGATGAGAACAGAAATTGCACACCAGCGGCATGGCGGCAGTCCATTAGCTAAAGTGGTACCTCAGGTTAAGAACGGACCTCTGGAACGAATTAAGTACATAACCAGAGGTACCACTGTATTGGCAGTTCACAAAGCCAGGTCTTGATCTGTGTCTGTGGTTAATCCTGAAGTAATTAGAGCAGATCCTTATAAAAAGTCTGTGGAATTATTCAGAGTACTGGGTCGCAGTAACAAGACAGCTTAACCAAAGCTACTACTCAGTACTGGGAGACTCAAACTTTCTTTCTGAGACTGCTTTCCCTCATAGGGAACGAGGCAGTAAATATTAAACAAGTATCCCCTTAACTCCCAGCATGACCAGCTAAAATCTTACCTGCACGATTGGGACCACAGTTAAATATTGCAGCCTTTCTGGTTTCTCCCTCCAAAAATGAAGAGCATTCACACACACACACACACACACACACACACACACACACACGTATATAGAGTACACATCCAGTGTGAACTGTACATGGTATCTGAAACTTTGTTGAGTTTCCCTTCCACCTTTCTCTCCCCAGCACCTCCAAAACTGGCCAGTCCGAGAGCAGGTGAGTTTGCATCCATGCCGGAATGGGAAAGAAGCATTTGGTCTAGAACCTTCCATGGGATATGAAATCTGGGCCCCAGTGGCTGGCGTGGTTGGGCACTGTTGCTGAGCAGCAGGTGACTGCTTTCAGGCGGATGGAAATTGGGAGGTGCAGCCTCGCAGCCCTTTTGTTTGGCCTCATGTGCACGTTCAGACATTCATGTTAGACTGAAAATAACTGATCCGAGAGGAAATGGGGTGACTCTTGTGTTTTTGAATCCAGGAGGCGTGCCACAGCAACTCAGTCAGCAGGAATGTACTTCTGTTTTTGTCTATACAGCATCTCCCGCAGGTAAAAAATGGGAGAGCATGGGGATAAATATTGGGGTGCGCCAGTGGCTGATGGGAATCTAGCAACATCCGGAAGGTTTGCCATCCCTGAGTTCCAAGCTATTCAGAAAAATGAGACGGTCTCCTCGCTTGGCCCATCCTTTGACAAACTGCCTGCTGTACTACTAAATCTGGGCAGTTAACCCAATGACCTACATACGAGTAATGTACATTCTTGCCCTGAACGTAACTCTTCTCCTCATTTATTTCTCCTCTTTTCTTTCACCAGAACCTAGGGATCTTTCCCTGACAGTTGACGGTAGTTTTTGACGATAAGTTTGTGGGTCTAACAACACTGGGTCATCAAATAGGGCGAAATAAACGAATGCATGCCATGCCTCTCCTGCCCCCTGGAAGAAAGGCAAAGACACAGCAGTTGTTCATCTGACAGTTAGCCTTAAGAACATGATTCATGCATTAGTCAGTAATTATTGTGAATGATTCTTGTAGTTTAATTAGCAACAAAGCTTCATTGGTGCATGATTAAACAGGCTGTAAGATCTCTTCGGGATGCGGGTGGCGCTGTGGGTTAAACCACAGAGCCTAGGACTTGCTGATCAGAAGGTCGGTGGTTCGAATCCCTGCGACGGGGTGAGCTCCCATTGCTCCTGCCAACCTAGCAGTTCGAAAGCGTGTCAAGGTGCAAGTAGATAAATAGGTACCGCTCTGGTGGGATGGTAAACGGCGTTTCCATGCGCTGCTCTGGTTTGCCAGAAGCGGCTTAGTCATGCTGGCCACATGACCCGGAAGCTGTACGCCGGCTCCCTTGGCCAGTAAAGCGAGATGAGCGCCACACCCCAGAGTCAGTCACGACTGCACCTAATGGTCAGGGGTCCCTTTACCTTTAAGATCTCTTCTGTTAGCCTTACAGCAGACGTTTTACCCTGTTCTCTTTTCTCCTCCTAGACTATTTTACTCCTAAGAAGGGGAAATCAAAATGGATAAGAGGTAAGCTGCTATTTCTGGAGAGCAAAAGCAACCCAGATGTTGGAGAGTTTCACCATTTGATCTCCTGACGTTTCTCTCTTGAGATAAAAGTTGCTGCAGGGGGAGATTAAACTGGACTGAGGCCCTGGCAGCAGTGCTGGGGGGCGGAGGAAGCGAGATAGTCCCTGCCCTATCATTCCAGTCTAAACCAACCCCACCCCCAGCAAGTAAATAGCTTAAGGGGGACTTAGATAGGAGGAAATGCTGTTGTGGAAAAGGTTACATTAACCATTTTCCAGCTCAAGGGCCACATTCTCTTCTAAACAGCCTTCCAAGGGCCACATGCCATGTTGTGGGAGGCCAGAGGCAGAAGTGCGTGAAGCAGCGAGTGTAAATTTCTGTACACACAGCCTCCAGCTTGCAACGCTCACCCTCCATGTGCCCCTGTATTCTTGCCATGCAAATTTGGTTGTATGAATTGGCCTACTTTGGTTCTGCGTTCCTCTCCGCCTAAAGAATACGTGCAATTTGCGAGCACTACCTTACGTAGGTAACCGATTCTGTTAAGCGTTCGTCTTGTTTGCTTTGTTTTACCACCCGTCTTCCTGTTGTGTTTCAGAAAACATGGTGTTTGATCCGGAAACAGCCCATCCCCGCTATATTGTGTCTCCAGATGGAAAAGCATTATGGTGGGGAAATGTCCGTCAGAACTACCCCTACAGTTCAATTCGGTTTGAATACGCCCGCTGTGTACTTGGAATGTGGGGATTCAGCTCCGGGAAACATTATTGGACGGTGGATGTCCGAAATGTCAACCATTGGGCTGTGGGCGTAGCCAGAGGGTCTGTGGAGAGGGATAGGGAAATTAATTTTGAACCCTATGAAGGGATCTGGGCAGTGGGCTTTAGCCGCCATGATCAGTTCAAAGCTCTGACTTCACCTCCTATCTATTTGGACCCAGAAGAGGGCCCAGCACAAATCCAAGTTTCTTTGAACTATGACGCAGGGAAAGTGTCTTTTTATGATGCTGAAGATAACACCTGCCTCTTCATTTTCGACTCAATTGATTTTGATGGGGAGGAAGTTTTTCCCTTTTTCCGGATTGTCGATTCATCAGCTTGCCTCCAGCTGTGCTATTAAAGCACATGGTCCTTGGCCTGTGCTTTGCCTTTCCTGGGTTCTCGGACGAGTCCAGGTGTTAGTTCCAAAGAGCAGCAGATATCCCTTTGGAAGTCTGTACAGGCTGCAGTTTCCATCCCATGCTGCTGTCCCACATTCCCCTTCAACAAAGGACCATGGTGTTTTGGCTTGACTGTGCAGACGATTGCTTTATAATCCAGTACAGAAAAGGAGCACTACAGTATTGCAAATAATGTTACTTTAATTTTGCACCCTCTCGGTGGTGCCAGTGGGGGATTTCCTCCCACTGCAAATAGCGGCTTCAGAGGAGGGATTATACTTGGGACCAAAGCAAAGGGTTAAATCCCCCACCACTTTTGGGGGGATTCGAATAATCATTAGCTTCTCCTCTCAGTATTTTGCAGCTTTATAAACCTGCATTTTTAATGCTAAATGAACCAAATATTGTCTATTTTTGACCCTTAGTCTTCCCATATATTAACTCTACTATTTGTTAGCATAGAACTGTAGCTTTTTACTTTTAATGAACTTATGATTTGCTGTCGCCATTGCAGTCTTTAATCATTTCATTAATCTTTCAATAAAGTTTTTTTTTAAAAATCCTTTTAACCTTTGTTTTGACTCAACTAATATTTATGCTCCACTTCTGTTATGATAATTTTAGTTTATTCTATTGCTTTTCTTAAAAAATTCAAGGCATCCTAAAAATGTTTTTTTAAAGTACCATACTGAACAAAAATGATGCAGATAATGTTCATAGTGTAAGAATTATTTTTTAAAAACCACCATCCCATTAAAATAACACAACTAGGCTCACCAATTAACCAGGCCTATGTTTAAAACCATCCCATCCTATCCTCTGACATGCCTGTGAGTAAAGGAACATTTTAACATTCCGCAATGTTGGTGCCAATATTTCGTTTTAAGATACATGTTGTCAGGGCCGCCTCAGGTCCCAGCTCACAAGAGACCAACGCCAAGTCCACTTTATTTACAAAAGTCTTTATTGAAGTACATTGTTTGTTCCACAGCCGAGGCGCGCAGCCCCACGTCTGTTACGCTTAGACCGCTGAAGTCCCCTCTGAATCAGTCCCGCCTCTACACCAGTTTAAGAGGCTTGTGCTGGTCCACCTCTTCCTGTCCTTCCTTTTCCGCAGGGTCTTTCTGCCCCCCTGGGTTCCTCCCCTCCTGGATTCCCCTGACGCCTGCTCCCCTCTCCTCCTGCTTTGGGACCAGGCTCCTCCTCCGGGCTCTCCGCATTTCCGCGCGCCTCCACATTTGAACTTGGCGCGCGTTCGCTACCTCTGACCTTCCTCTTGATAGCTACACTACTCTCTGTGCTACTCTCCGCCCCTTCCGGCAGGACGTCTTGCCCCGATCTCCTTCCCCCTCTGCTTCCTGCTCTGCTTCGTCTGTCACACTGGGAACTCCACCCTCTTCACTCCGTTCCGGCGGGGAAGCCGGCCCTGATCTCCAACTCCCACTCGGGGTTTCCCTGCTGCTCCCCTGCTCTTGACGAGTCCCCCTGTGACTCCCCTTGGCCTGACCAGGGGCGCCCCCTTTTGGGAATCCTCCGATTCACTTGAAAGACTCATGGAAACCCTCAAGTCATTGTCATCCTCCTCCTCGTTCCGGGATTCTTCCCCCTCGCTCTCAGTCTCCTCCCTCATCTGTGCCTCTCTCCCTGAACCCCTGACACATGTGTTTGAGGTGGAGTATTGTTTGGGGTTAGACCAGGCCCACAGGCATAGGCAAACGGCCTGCCAGATGTTTTGGGACTACAATTCCCATCATCCCTGACCACTGGTCCTGCTAGCTAGGGATGATGGGAGTTGTAGTCCCAAAACATCTGGCGGGCCGAGTTTGCCTATGCCTGGCCCAGGGTCCTGACCCCCAGGTATTTTATATGAGGCTCCAATCTCCTGTCCCTCCCTCTCGCTTTAAAATAATAATAATATTATTATTTTGAATATTGGGCAGTTGAGCATGCTGCAAAATGCAATCCAGGTTAGATCCATGCTGGAAATGGAAGAGTGCTGTGAAACTTCTAGTGGAGTATTATATATCTTTTAGGCCAATCGAAAATCCTGTCACTATTTTGTATTATTTTAAGCATCTTATGTATATTATTTTCAATGTATTGTTACACATCACCTGAATCTGCATGAGCGGTGCGTAATTCATGGGGTTGCAGGCACGCTAACCAGGATCTGCCCAGGGATGGACTTTAGTAATATGAGCAAGAATAAAATTCAATGCCACCCACTAAGTATTACTTATTTTCACAGTAGTTCCTTATTATTGTTTTTGCAACCCTTTGGCTTGGTGTCCTGTGCAGGGGAACCACCCACACCTCCCTAAATCCTGTGTTCCCTTTTGTGGCAATCAGGCACATGTTCGTTCATTCATTCATTCGTAGAAACAATAGCTTGTGTATATTAATCTGTGTGAGATTTCTAGAAACTGCGAGAAGCTAGGTTGTTTACAATAGAGAAGGGGCCGATTCATATGTGCCCAGCGAGGGGATCTGGGCCATCTCCTTTAATGGTGGCGATTACTGAGTGCACAACTCCACTAAGACTTTTCTGCCCATGTGCTTTGACCCTAGAGCAGTGGTGTCCTAACTTTTTTCAAAGAGGGCCAAAATTGATGAAGTGAAGGGCCATGAGGACTGACCAAAGGGCCAACAAAAGTTGTTGACCTTTTCCTAGCATTGAAGTTGTTGAGGTTTTTTTAGGATATTACCCCAGGAAATAAACTGCCACAAGAGCCGGATTAAACCGACTAGCGGGCCAGATTAGGCCCCTGAAACGGGATCGCAGTGGGTCACTTCTTCATGGGGGGGGGGGGGAAGGTCCACACTTTCTTCAAGATCAGAAGCTCATCAACCCATCTCAGATTTCGCAGCCTAGCTTTGCGATGGCTAGAAGAATGTTTATGAGCCTGTTGCAGGGCACTTGTTCCTTAGCGTGCTTGCCCTCAATTGCTTTTGAGAAACCTTCATTGTTCAAGCCATGGCCAGTGGGACTTTTCTGCAAACCTGCAAGAGGAGATATTGGCAGCAATTCAGAGTAACGCTGAGCAAAAGAGCTAATCATCTCATCTAGTGGATTTCAGGCTCTCTCTAAAGATTCTGGCAACAGAACCATCTTCTAATCTACAACATACACCACTTCCACACAAGTCCGGGTGCCCACACATTCTGAATGACTCCAGTAGCCAGCCATTAGTTTCTCAGGCACATGCAAACGGTCTGGTGGTAGGCAGAAGGGTCAGCCTTCTGCTGGATGGCCGTCTGTCATGGATGCTTTAGCTGAGATTCCTGCATTGCAGGGGGTTGGACTAGATGACCCATGAGGTCCCTTCCAACTCTAAGATTTTATGATTCTGCTTCACACCATGCTTTCAAGGGGCTCGGAAGCAGGGAGAGGGATTATTATTATTATTATTAATTTATTTATTATTTGTACCCTGCCATCTGGCTGGGTTTCCCCAGCCACTTTGGGCGGTTTCCAACAAAGATTAAAAATACATTAAAATGTCACATATTAAAAACTTCCCTAAACAGGGCTGCCTTCAGATTTCTTCTAAATGTCAGGTAGTTGTTTTATCTCTTTGACATCTGATGGGAGGGCTTCCACAGGGTTGGTGCCACTACCGAGAAGGCCCCTCTGCCTGGTTACCTGTAGCCTCACTTCTCGCAATGAAGGAACCACCAGAAGGCCCTCAGCTCTGGACCTCTGTCCGGACAGAATGATAGGGGTGGAGACGCTCCTTCATTATTATTTATGCAGCAGATTATTGCTGCTTTCAAGTACTGGCACAGCCCAGCATTGAAAGAGGCAGACTCCTTCCCTCCCGCTTCAGGAAAGCGGCCTCTCAACTCATCACACTGCTTTGCTGCTCTCCTAATTTTTTATTTTTATTTTAACTTTTGTACAGCATTTACAGTATTTCTGCTCTCCTAGTACGGATAGTATTCACGTCTCTGCAATCCTCTCAACCCGTTGAAGCGCTTGGCTGCCATTTTCCACAACTGAACAGAAGCGACAAGCCCCGCCCCGCTTTCTCCACAGCCGCCTGGGCCTGTTAAGACCTAAAGTCAGAGGGGCGCTTTTACGAAGTATTGCAGGGAATTGCCTAAAGTAAACTGCGTGACAGATTTTTAGGCAGACCGTTGTAGCTTTCAAGCGCCGGAAGTGTTTAAGCAAAGGAGTCAGCTATGAACTGTGTACACAGGGTAAACTTGCAAAATATCCCCAGCTCTCACCAAACATCGTATGGGTAAAAAAGCAACAAGCCACGAGCATCAATATTTCCATTGGAAAAACATTGGGGGAGGGTCGGATGAACAGAAAGCACAGAGAAACACTATTTGTCCTTTCTTCTACAATATAAATATATTCTAACTCTGTTCCCCTCTCCCTGGACCCCACCCGCGCGCACTCGTTTCCTATTGGTTTAGAAATAGAATCCTTTTTCCTATTGGCCTCTTCATCTTCGACCAATCACAGCCAGTTCAAGAAACGTATAAAAGGCGCCCACTCCAAAACACCTGCAGTCTTTTCGTTATTTCGTCGAGAAATAAGTCAGGAGCCTTTGAAGATGTCAGGTCGCGGCAAGACAGGCGGGAAGGCACGAGCCAAGGCCAAGTCCCGCTCTTCCAGAGCCGGGCTGCAGTTTCCCGTGGGCAGAGTCCATCGGCTCCTGCGCAAGGGAAACTACGCCGAGCGCATCGGCGGCGGAGCGCCCGTTTACTTGGCCGCGGTGCTCGAGTACCTCAGCGCCGAGATCCTGGAGCTGGCCGGCAACGCAGCCAGGGACAACAAGAAGAGCCGCATCATCCCGCGCCACTTGCAGCTGGCGGTGCGCAACGATGAGGAGTTGAACAAGCTGCTGGGCGGTGTGACCATCGCGCAGGGCGGAGTCCTGCCCAACATCCACGCCGTCTTGCTGCCCAAGAAGACCGAAGCTCTGCATAGCGCGGCCGCCGCCAAGGCTGCGCCCAAGCCCGTCACCAAGGCCGCCAAAGGCACCAAGGCGCCCCTCAAGCCCAGCACCGCGCCCGTTGCGGTCCAGTGAGGCCAAAAGGCCAAACAGCCCGGACTACGGCCGGCGACAAAATAAACAGACCCAAAGGCTCTTTTCAGAGCCACCCACAACGCTCCGAGAAGAACGGAAACACTGCTGCGCAAAATAATAAACCCCTGCGCTCGCTCGCACATTTCCCCCGTTGATTCGAAAACGCCTCCCTATCATTTACACCTTTCTTAAAAACACATTGAGGCTGCTGGTGGTCACAACCGGGGATCTACAATCATCCCTGCTTGCTTTACAAACTTCAGTCCCGTGGGAATGGAAATCCACCTTTTTGTGCCCATGATAGCTATTTCCTCGCACCCATGGCAGCACATCTATATAAGCACCGTGGCCAACAAGGACTCGATCCCCTGCCTGGTGAAGCAGAGATACAGCCTGCAGCCAATAATTCTAGCAGCTATTCGCCTTTTTCGCTTGTAAACCAATTTATACCGAAAGACACTGATTCTGCACTGTTCTCCACCTGCTACATAATGCTAGGACACTTGGGGATTTGCAAAAAGTTCTGA